AACATCACATCATAATGTTCAGTTACAGCGTCGTTTTCTGTTTAGTTTTCATTTCTTTTGTTTATTTATTTAACTTAAATGCACAAAAATGAAGTGTACAAATGGCGGGCTGTTATGTCCGCCATTTGTACACTTTATTTTTGTTAAATTATATTATTACATTTAAGTTAAATAAATAAACAAAAGAAATGAAAACTAAACAGAAAACGAAGCTGTAACATGACTGGACATTATGATGTGATGTTAATTTAGTCATTTGTACACTTTATTTTTGTGCATTTAAGTTAAATAAATAAACAAAAGAAATGCTGTGTTATCTACCAGGCAACCATGAGTGGTGCAGAGAGAGATTATTGGCGGTGCACTAATATAAATGAGACATGTCAAAAAATATAAATTTTCATAAAAAATAATATACATTAATATATATAAATATAAACAAAAATATTATCTTATTTAATCTTTTACTGAACTAAATAGTATATAACCATTTTCAGTATGTCTATAGTAATATAAAAATGAGAGAGATTCCTAACCATTGTACCTATTTGAAGAATTCTTTTATGTTTCAGTATCATATGTATATTTGATTATCACTTTGAAATAATGTTAATTCAAATTATAGGCGCCATATTATGTTAATACAAAACTTATAAAACTACAGAATATATATATTACAACATACACTGTGACACAACAATAACTATACTCACAGCAAACAAATGAAGAAAATGCATGTAAATATAGAGAACACAATGTAGAACAGTTCCTCTCCGATCGATTCCCTGTACAATTCAAATGGGGACCGATGTTACGACGGCCTGAGCCGAGGTTCGAACCCCTAGCGGTGCCCTCAGACTAAAGTCGTATCCGTCAGGCGGCAGTTGGCCTTCAGCCGCTCCATAAGTCCTTCCGCTGGTTTGTAGTGCCATCTGCACTCGCCAATATACAAGTGAAATTCTATGATAAAAATATAAATAGATTATAGAAAATTATACAATTAAAAATCATCATTACGTAGTATAAAACAAAATCGCTGTCGCTGTATGTCCCTATGTATGCTTAAATCTTTAAAACTACGCAACGGATTTTGAAGTGGTTTTTCTTAATAGATAGAGTGATTCAAGAGGAAGGTTAAAATGTATAATACATGTACACCCGAGCGAAGCTCGGACGAGTAGCTAGTAAATATATAAAAGGTAGTAAGGAGTTCGTCATAGTATAAAAAACTTTACCTGCACCAGTCGTTAAGCAGAATATTGTGTACTTTTTGTGTTTGAAACTACTTATTTATTTCAATAACGCTCTACCCCACATTCCGATCTAACATTATTAAATAAAAGAAGAGAAATATAAATAATCATATAGGGAATTTTAAATAGGCTATAGAAAATTATAAAATTAAAAAGAAATATTTTTTACCATTTACCATCAGATGAGGTAAGACCAAGCGCCATTATTAATAAAAAAAAATTGGTATATAATAGCCAACCACTTAGCTTGAGGCGTGACTTCGCTTCGCTTTGCATGTTCTACCGATTATACAATGGACTGTGTTCTGAGTAATTGTTCGACATGATGCCCACAGCTATTTTTACCATCGCACCGCTCGCCATCGATAAGGAATTCATCCCCACAGGTTACAACCTAAGTGGTCTCGGACAGTGCGGTTTCAGAGGAGCTACCTCCCGCGTACACTTAGATTGTGGAATGAACCTGCCGAGGTTTTCTCAAAAGACTACAGCGTGGGGTTTTTAAAAAGGGTATATTAACGTTTCTTAAGGGTTGGCAACACGCACGTAACACTCCTGATGTTTCAGGCGTCAATAGGCTTTACCATCAGATGGGCCGTAAGCTTGTTTGCCACTGTAGAAGTATAAAATATATATAAAAGGTAGTAAGGAGTTCGTCATAGTATAAAAAACTGTACCTGCACCAGTCGTTAAGCAGAATATTGTGTACTTTTTGTGTAGTTGAAACTACTTATTTATTTCAATCACACCTTCACCCGCATCCCGTGGTTTTGGCCGACCGTGAGAAACCCTCTTACAATTAGGCTCCGTTCTTTTTTCCCTCTCCCAATAAGGAATGGAAAACCGAAACGGCTCGCAAGAAATCGAAATGGTCCTATTCATTCATGAATTGAATTGAACGAATGTAAGTTCTTATTTGATAATGAAATGTACATTTTTCAACCGGTGTGTAGGTCTCTGTTCATAGTATGTACCTGGGCGACCGCGCTTCGCTTATTTTTTAGTTATGAACTGAATGAGAATATGTAAAACTTAGAAAAATTCATTAAATATATATATTTCATTAAACACGAAATAATAATAACTCAGGACAATTCACTTAGCGCCATCTAGTCTATACAACTGACAGACTATACAACTGATACAGATACATAGATATTTTTTTTCGTAAATACATACATATTATACATAGAAAACTACCAGACCGATTAAAACAATCATACTCATAAATACAAATGTTTGTGCCGTGAGAGGAGACGAACCCGCGACCATCGGATGTAAAGCGGTGTGCTAGACCGCTAGACCACAGAGGTCATCAAATATACTCGTATAATTAATATATTGTTATTATAAAGGTACGAAAAAGTTCAAATGCTCATTATTTGTGTAATCAGATAATATTATAAATATTATGTTTTTTTACCACAAAAATCATTATTGTGATTTATAAACTCATCAATTTTATAATGAGCTATTTTACCAAGAAACTCTTATACAATATTTATTTAAATGACGATATATTCTATCTCAAAGACGGATATAACAATAGTCTTTCTTTTATCTCAGAACTAGTTACTCGCCCAGGCTTTGCCCGAGTGTACACGTATAAAAGAAAGTCGCTGTCGCTGTTGTCTAATATACATGATTAAATCTTTAAAACTACGCGACGGATTTTGAAGCGGTATCTTTTAATAAATAGAGTGATTCAAGAGGAAGGTTTATATGTATAATATATGTACACTCGAGCGAAGCCGGGGCTAGTAGCTAGTCATACATATAAACCTTCCTCTCGAATCACTCTATCTATTAAAAAACCGCTTCAAAATCCGCTGCGTTTTAAAGATTTAAGCATACATAGGGACGGACAGACAGCGACAGCGACTTTGTTTTATACTATGTAATGATAATGAAAAGTACAAAGTTGATCGTAATAGCTAGTTTCAAAATAAATTTGATCTGATAGAAGAGTTATCACTTTTAACTTTGATCATCGTAAGCGTTTTCGACAGGCCGTGAAATTTAGAAGCCAATTAATGGAAATCCTCTGACGAGTTCCAGCGGTGTTTAAAGTTTAAACAGTATCTACGTAGTAAGGGATATAATGATTATACAAAGGATTATTACGGTGATATTGGAATAGAATATAGTCAATTTAAATAAATAGGTATCCGTAGACAATTAACACAGCGCCATCTAGTCCCGCGGTAAGCAGAGCTTGTATTATGGGTACTAGATAATTAATATAACTATTTTTTTTTTAAATATATACATAATATACATAGAAAACAATCGAACCCGCGACCATCGGAAGTAAAGCGGTGTGCTAAACCGCTAGACCACCGAGGCAGTCAAGTTATCTTGTATAGTGTTTGCGATCCCAAATAGCCAAATAATACATTTAAAAATAAAATTCAAGTTTAGAACGACACGTGTGCTATCCCAAATAGTCAAATCATACATTTGAAAATAAAATTATAAAATTCAAATTTAGAACGTCACGATCGAACGCGCGATCCCAAATAGCCAAATTATGCATTTAAAAATAAAATAATAAAATTCAAATTTAGAACATCACGATCGAACGTGCGATCCCAAATAGCCAAATCATACATTTGAAAATAAAATTATAAATTTCAAATTTAGAACGTCACGCGTGCGATCCCAAATAGCCAAATCATACATTTGAAAATAAAATTATAAAATTCAAATTTAGAACGTCACGATCGAACGTGCGATCCCAAATAGCCAAATCATGCATTTAAAAATAAAATTATAAATTTCAAATTTGGAACGTCATTCGTGGAACATTAGTATTTCTTTTTTATACATTTTTTCAGTTCTTCTCGAACATTCCACGGCGTCACTGTTCAATTCTAGAACTAAATATTTCCATTCAATTCAGTGTACAAGCAATTCTAAACATTTTTATTTCATTATCTAAATATATAAACTCAAAGGTGCGTGGATAGATCACTATGTCAGTCCAAACCATTAGACGGATCGGACTGAAATTTGGCATGCAGATAGATGTTATGACTTAGGCATCCGCTAAGAAAGAATTTTGATTATTTCTACCCCCAAAGGTATAAAATAGGGGATGAAAGTTTGTATGAAACTTTATCAATTTTAAACCGATCGGACTGACTTAGCATGCATAAATCTACTATGACGTAGGCATCCCCTAAGAAAGTATTTTGATAAATTCCACCCCTAAGGGGATAAATTAACGCGAGCGAAGCCGCGGGCAAAAGCTAGTATTAACATAAACATAGTAATATTCTCTATCAAACAATAGTTACGTACCTATAGTGAAAGTGTTACATATTAATTAATATTTTTTTACTTTGTTTTGAGCGTATTCAGATCACGAAAATTGAAAGAATCTCTTTTTCTCCCTTCCTCTGTGCCTTATAACCATCGACATTCATATGTAACACCGTCCTTATCTTAGCCTTATAACAGCTTGTACCTTGTACATTACCAACAGCTAACCTGAGAGGAAGGGGATTGTCAGTAATGTGGACTTATAACCCCATTACTAGCAATGTACCATGTCAGATTGACCTCCACGCGGTTCCCCCTGGAAACCTGACCTCATGTTCATCCTATCATCCTCCACTGGTGCCTCGCTCGTAAACCATTAGCGCAGGCGGGTGCACCATTCCACTATCATTCACAATAAAAAACCTAGTCACCTTATTTGTGATTCCAACGAATAATTACATGTATTTTCTCTTTCTTTCGCAGGAAATCGAGCATTGCTACTATCATGGTACAGTAAAAGACTACCCTGGTGCTTCAGCCGCCTTTCACACCTGCAATGGCGTGTCCGGCGTCATACATATAGGCAACGAGACATTCGTCATACACCCATTCTATGGAGGCGATCTATCGGTCAGAAACGCATGTTTTTATAAATTTTTCTAGCTACATTATTATTAGAGATTATAGTTTATTATCACCAAATTTTATGTGAATCTCAACGAGTTGCGTGGATGTATTCGTTGTAAGTAATTATAAAATAATAATAATAATCTCAGGACAATTCACACAGAGCCATCTAGACCCAAGTTAAGCTAGCTAGAGCTTGTGTTATGGGTACTAGATAACTGATACAAATACATAGATATTTTTTTTTGTAAATACATACATATTATACATAGAAAATACCCAGACCGATACAAACAATCATACTCATGAAGACAAATGTTTGTGCCGTGCGAGGAATCGAACCCGCGACCATCGGTCGTAAAGCGGTGTGCTTGACCGCTAGACCACCGAGGTCGTCAAAATAGTTTTTGTAATGGCAATATATATTTATACAATTAAAATCATAACACCTATTTAAAATCAGTGATATCTGAATACAATAATTGTTTTTTATCTATTAATTGAAATTAAGGAAATGATACTGCATGGATACTTTTTTAAGAAACACAATTAAGTATCCATAATATAAGTAATAATTAACTAAACATTTGCATTACATTCAGTGCAATACATTCCAACACTTATCATTTATAGACAAAATACATATTTGATGTAATTTTAGAGCTTTTGCTCTACAGTCTCTACTTGAAAACACGTTTTTTTTTTATTCCAGTAATAATAGGAAATTTAAAAAATCTACGCATTTAGATTTGGTACTGTTCTTTGTTCACTAATCTTTTTTATATCAAATAAAATAATGACGGGACAATTAGTTTAACAGGTTGTCGTGACAAATTAACAACCACATAGACAAGTATTAGTATAGATATGTTTAGAATATATATAATTATTTATTTAGCCTTTGATGTGTGCATATGATGTTACGTATTAGAGAATGCTTTCTGGTTTAACAGGGTATCTTCTTCCAAAACAATGAATATATACATATATCTATAAAAATATAATGTCTGTCTTTTAACTTTAAATACGTGCTTCAAACAAATAGTGTATTTCAAGTAAACGATTTTTTTTTCACTAAACGATTACTTGAATGACGAGCGTGCATGGCAATAGTTTTCATGTTCGGGATTTTCATTTAATGTTAGACATAGACCTATATAAATACCTATGCATTGTAAATAAACTGGATTTAAAAAAAAAGTAATTCAATTGAGTTTCTTGCCAGTTCTTCTCAATTGGATCTATATACCGAACTGGATGGTAGGGAAAAAAAAATTATAATGTAAAAACTTGACGTTCATAAGCGGCTAAAATGTCCTACATGAATAAATGATTTTTGAATTTGAATTTGAATTCAATAATTAATATAACAATAGATGTTTGCTCTCATTTCCTCTTCAATATTAACATCTCTATTTAATATTATCTCTGTTTATTACGTGTCAGCATTTTGGCGCCAACGTAGTTTTACTTTTTTAAAATCTGAACTATAGGCAAGGGAACGATTTTAAAGAGTTATAGTTTACATTAGAGTTATATTGACATTATTAAAATTAACAGATTCTTACAAATTATAATATTACGATAATATGAATTTATAAGTTGTACCCGCAGTTTCATCCACGTGAAGTATATTCTGTGTTGTTCTGACATATGTATAAGCTATATTATTTTAAAGTTTCATTAATATCCATTCAGTAATATTTGCGTGAAAGAGTAAGAAACATCCATCCATCCATAATCACAAACTTCTGTGTTTATAATATTACTAAGATTAGCAGTGTTATATTTAAAATAATGGTAACTTAATCTATATTTTATTTAAAAAAATTTAATGGAAATTATAAAATAAGTATAAATCAATATATCTCGGTGACTTAGCACGAACTAAATTTAATTTTTTTATTAAAACAGTCCAATTAAAAATAGTAACTGAATATTATTTCAGATAATTGAAAAAAATAAATGTTTATATTAAGGACTAGCTGTTCCCGCGACTTCGTCCGCGTGGAATTTAACTTTATTTTTTAAAATAAAAGTAGCCTAAGTTACTTCTTATTACATTAGCTGCCAAAAAAAGTCCCGTCAAAATCGGTCCAGCCATTTCAGAGGTAAAAATTATAAAAAATGTTGTTTTGGTATATGTACCGTATATATTATTCATATGCATGTAGTAAAAAACTATTATTTCAATATTACAAACAGACACATGTATAGATTGTATAAGTTTCAAACTCTGTTTCAGTCTACCTGCAAATTCACCCTTCAATACATTTCATTATTTACCCTTTTAACGTAACATTAATATTCTTTGAAATGGACTTTCTGACCCTCCATTAACCCTGGAAATCCACTTAAGATTTTAAACCTCATTTCAATTTAAAATACAAATATTATAATTCACTTATTTCATACTAAGCAAAAGCCTTTTGCAAACTTTATTTGGCTTAACTCAAACCTTATATAGGTTTGAGTTTCTCGTCTGTATGTCTTATGTTTTTTTATAATCCATTTCAGGGATGATATCCTAGTGGTTTTCTAGTCTGTCTTATATAACGACGACGACCTCGATGGTCTAGTGGTTTAGCACACCGCTTTACGACCGATGGTCGCGGGTTCGAATCCTCGCACGGCACAAATATTTGTATTAATGAGTATGATTGTTTGCATCGGTTTGGGTGTTTTCTATGTATAATATGTATGTATTTACAAAAAAATATCTATGTATATGTATCAGTCATCTAGTACCAATACCACACGCTTTAGCTAGCTTAACTTGGGTCTAGATGGCGCTGTATGAATTGTCCTGAGATTATTATTATTATTATATAACGTAAAGGTCGGGAGATCAAACCTGTCTAAGATTAAAAACTTTATTTACCAATATAAATAAATTAACTGTTTGCGATGGGAAATACATATAAAAATAATAATATCTAAGGACAATACACACAGCGCCATCTAGTCCCAAGCTAAGCAGAGCTTGTTTTCTGGGTACAACTGTTACAAAATATATACATTTTTTTTTTATAGGTACACATGTATACTTAGAAAACACCCAGATAAATACAAATAACCATACTCATAACAACAAAAATATACAATTTTTTTTTTAAATCAGTTTTAAAATTCACGTTCAGTGGTAGTTGGTAGTTAATGGTAGTTGTTGATACTTCTCTGAAATAGCTTAACATATTTTGATGAAATTTTATATGTATACTCGGCAGATCTGAGAATAGGTTATCATCTACTTTTTATATTCCTAAATTGTGGCCGGCCCCGAAAATTATAATATTAAATATGTCTTTACATATCCCATACATTTTACATACCTCCTAAATTTTGAACTTAATTTTTTTCCACCACATACCCCTGTTTTTTAAAATCGATATTATTATTACATAGCATAAAACAAAGTCCCTGTCGCTGTCCGTCCGTCCCTATTTATGCCGCAACGGATTTTAAAGCGGTTTTTTTTTAATAGATAAAGTGATTCAAAAGGAAGGTTTATATATATAATGTACGTGTACACCCGTGCGAAGCCGGGGCGATAGCTAGTTAATTTATATGACAAAACAACGTTTGCCGCGTAGTAGCTAGTAGTACCTAAAAGTCTGTTTCTAGTCAAGAACTCACTAGAAATAGACTAGTCTTAAAGGTATATTTGAATAAAAACTTATTCTCAAAATGAACTGTTCTCGTAAAAAACTTATTCTCTTTGCAAACTTTGTAATAACATAGTGGAAAAGTTGCCGAGATTGTTACAAGTATAATGTATTAAGTTATATTAATTTCAAAATATATAAACCAGCTGTATGTTCACCTAGGACATACATTAAAGCTGAGTGGAACCATTTTAGTGCATTTTTGGATTGGAGTTCCTTGATTTGGAGTGCCATCTGCACTCACCCCCTATTGTCCGGTGAAGCTGTAAAGATCAGCTGCAGCCAAAAGCTAGTTGTTGTACTAGTCCGAAAAAAAATCATAAAATACCTAAATAATATAGCAATTAAATTTATTAATATGATAAGTACACATAAAATACATATAATTTTATGTGTACTTATTATATTAATAAATTATCACTTTTTTGTTTCTTATTTTTATTAAATTTTTCACTTCTTTTGGCTCTGGCGGTTTGTGTTGCCATTTTTTATTAGTTTGTATCATCTAATAGAAAAGATTATTTTATGTTTATGTTTATTTTGAATTATCTACATGGTAAATTAAGTTTAATTATATGTACATTTTATTTGCTCTTTTTGTCGTTTGTTGTTTATATTGTATTTTTTACATTGCACTGAATAAAATATTTTTCTTTCTTTCTTTCAATACAATCTACATAATTACCGTATATATACAGACTAGTTAGTTTAATATAAATTAAACTAGCTAATCGCCCCGGCTTCGTACAGGTGTACATGTATCATATAAACCTTCCTATTGAATCACTCTATCTATTAAAAAAACCGCTTCAAAATCCGTTTCGTAGTTTTAAAGATTTAAGCATACATAGGGACGGACAGACAGCGACAGCGACTTTGTTTTATACTATGTAATGATATCACAAATATGATATTAGATATTATTATAACCTGCGGTTTTGCCCGTAATCTAGTTTTAATATATGACGGCACTGAACAAATTATGTATAACAAATATAATCTTATACACTCACTAGCTTTTGCCCGCGGCTTCGCTCACGTTAATTTATCCCCTTAGGGGTGGAATTTATCAAAATCCTTTCTTAGGGGATGCCTACGTCATAGTAGCTTTATACATGTAAAGTCTCAGCGCGATTGGTTTAAAATTGACAAAGTTTCATACAAATTTTCAGCCCCTATTTTGACCCCTTGGGGGTAGAATTAATCAAAATCCTTTCTTAGCGGATGCCTACGTCATAACATCTTCCTGCATGCCAAATTTCAGCCCGATCCGTCCAGTGGTTTGGGCTGTGCGTTTATAGATCACTATGTCAGTCAGTCAGCTTTGAGTTATATATA